ATTTCAGCACCGCTAGAGTCAAAATCAGTTACAAGATTTGAGCAGCTGACTAAACCGGGATGTGAGTTGAACGATCTGAACTGTCACATTGATAGAATCAAAGGATTTCACCAGTATATTACCCTAATTACGAGACATGTGGGCGTGACCTGGCAAAAAGCAGAGATTAACGATGAAGCATATTGGGCTGAGTTCTATGCGGCTTACGGAGAAACTTTCACCTTCGATAGAAATCGGACGTTGGAGGCAGTGCGAGATCAGTCGCATCGAATATTCGATGACAAAACGGATTTTGTCTTATTGCCGTATTCGGTTGAGGAAAACATATCAAAACGCTATGTGACGGTCAATGACTTTTATTCTAGACTATACGAGTACTTAGACAACACCGTAACGAAGTTTTTAAGACAATTTGATTTAGGAGAAAAAATCGTTCTTCCAGACTTAAGGAATATTTTGAAACTAGTCGACTTACTTGATCCGTGGCATATCCCGCATCCAGTGATTGGAAACTTGTCTGACATGAAGTACATCAAAAACGAATGGGACATTGAGCACGCTATCGTTCAATGTGGTAGGACAGCTTTGGTCTTATATGAAACAGAAATAAGGTCGGAAATGAGATACTTTGAAAAACATTACCCTTGGCTCAAGTTTTTTAAATCGAAATTGAAATTATTAACGACAGAGTTAGGGTGGAAGTTTGACATACGTGGACCCTCGCTTAGTTTTAAAGTTTTTGGGAGACTGCATGTGGCTGGAATTATTCAACTTTTGGAGATCTAGCCACGCACATCGTCTCCGAAGAGAATTAACATTACGAGCAAGGTTCACACTCTAGTGGAAATTAGGAAGGCGGAAGATGTTGTTAAGAAGATTTCGTTGGGCGGAAATATCCAAACTATCTTTTGGCTTTATTTACTCCTCCTGGCGGCATCATTGGCGGAAATGTTTATCTTTGAAGTAAGGCTATATAATACAGTGTGGAATGCTCTAGTTGTTATGATATGGTCGTTGAAAATGATGTGGCAATCTATTGTAGGATTGTATGTATATTTTCATTATTACGTTTTGCATAAGTTAACCATCTAGTCATAATCTTATAAAAAATAAATTAAGGGTATAAACAACATTTGATCTTGCAAGGAAAAGTGTTTTTGTGGCATAATGCACAATCTCCTGAACGTCGAACAGTTTCAGAAATATCTATAAACTGTCAAACCAAAACTGGGAAAAATCGTCAACCAAATATTTAGTATGTATGTAAATATATAAAACCAAGTTTCCTGAGGTATGGTTCGGAACAACAAAGGTGTGCACATTCAATCATTTACACAGAGTCCGAATAACTGATATGTAGTAAATTAATATTTGTCTCTAAGATTTTTGACTAAATGAGTATTAGATAAAATAAACCGTCGCAAACGCGCATACGGAAGTAGCTTCAGACGTACTTCACCCCAAACGGTCCCACCACAACTCGGGAACACTTAATTTCACTCTATTTCACCTATAGATTAATTTTTTGTAAAAATCTCATTTTGCCCCGACCACACCCCCTGGCGACGAGGGGGTGTGGCACAATCGGGGAAGCACTTAATTTCACTCAATTTCACCTAATTTTACCCATAGATTAAATTGCACTAAAAATCTCATTTTGCCCCAACCACACCCCCTGGCGCCGAGGGGGTGTGGCACAACTCCGGAACACATAATTTTACTCTATTTCACGTATAGATTAAATTGCACTAAAAATCTCATTTTGCCCCGACCACACCCCCTGTCGCCAAAGGGGGTGTGGTCCGGTTGCCCCCAAAAGTTGATAGGATCCTCCCCCTGGGGTCCTATGTATGATGGCGAAAACCGATTTCGATTATCTCGATCCGTTCTCCTGATATCCTGCTGACAGACAGACGGACAGACAGACAGACAGACAGACAGACAGACAGACAGACAGACAGACAGACAGACAGACAAAGTCTTCACATAAAGTAGCTGAAGCTACTTAATAAATTTAGTATTAATTAGAGAAGAACTAATGAATAATTTTATTTATTATTAATTCTGCGATATGTGATTAACGCATATCGGAGGAAAATGGCGTAGATATTGTGGTCGGTGGGGGTCCAGATATTTGAAATGTGCGCGGGATATCCCCCTTCTTTGGGTATAGTCAGATGGCAATTTATGTAAAGATTGTGAATGGGAGGTACGATTCCCGGGGAATTTTTCAAACCAGGTGAAGAACATTGTGTGAAGCGGATGTGACGAAAAGGTTGGGAAATATCAAGGCGGGCGTGGCCCAGATTAAGGAACCTGGCTGGCTTCAAGGGACGGATTGGGCGGCCATTTTTGAGACTAGGGTGAAACACCCGTTCATTCCGGAGTATCGGGAGAGAATGGATAAGACGAATTAGGAGGGGTATGTCGAGATAGAGATGAAGATTGAGAAGGTTAGTCATGATGACAAATTTTGAAATTACGAATTTTTGAAAATTGGTTTTGATAAGATACAAATTAAGGGGTGAGTCATAAGTAGTGATCCACCTTTTCCTGCTCTCCGCAGGCCAAGGAGAGTAGGACAATTCATTAAGTTGTAGTATCCTGATATTAAGCAACCGATATGCCACACAAAACGTGTCATCACAGGTTGATTGAACCTTAGGCGGGAAAATGAGACTGAAATAAAAACAAAAAGTGAAAATTCGAGTGGTGCAAATGTAAAAAACGCATCAACTTTTTTAGGCAAGTCATTTCCCACGAAAGCAGAAGTACATATAATTTAAAATTCTATGCTTTTCTCAGTTACACAATAGCATTGGCTAAATGAATTCACCACCTTCCGAATAATATCCTAAGACCCGGCGTCTCAGGCTACACCAAAAGTGAAAACCTATATTTGTAGGAACGGTTTTACATCGATTCATCATGGCAACCAAACCACTAAACCTACTCATCTCAAATCATGGCAGGGTTAACATTAGGCTATTGGGTCTTGAAAAGTGTAAATAACAAATTGCCAATAAATATGCAAGCAACAAAAAAGTAACATTATATACAAAAAGTCACAAAATTTGCAAAAAGATGTCGCGAGAACTACGGTCATTTTTGAAGAGTGCTGCGTGTACGTTGACCATTCTGTTGTCTTCTAGGTTATCTTCTAGGTTGTCTTAACCTAGGTTAGGACATGGCCTGGATCATGTACAATAGCAAAATGTCCCTTAAGCTTAACAAAAACCAAGGTTTTGCAAACTTGTCGGTGTTTTTTAGGATCAAGTCTCATGGAGATTAACATTGTAATAAGTTCCGATGGTGATAATATTATACACGAAAGTAAATTTCAAAAATTCTGAGCACATTTTAGTAGACCACTATTCTGATAACTGCCTCAAGGAAAAAGTTTCAGAAATTCGTGCTTTTACCATGTAAAATTCTTAAATGTATGACAAGAAAAGTGGGAACTGAAGGGTTGGAGGTAGCTTGGGAAAATTGTTATCCTATGGGTTTAAGTTAATCGATGGTCAAAATCGCATTGATTTCTAAGTTAACAATCGCATGGGCTATAATATTAGTGAAAATAACTTGACTGGTGAAAAGAGTTAAGCAAATGGCGACCGTTTTATACTGTATCACTACTTATGACTCACCCCTTATTTGAAAATTTAGGCTTTGAATGGGTTACCAAAGCAAAAAATAAATATGTAGTTTTAAATTAAGTTAGCTGTAACCTCTTAGCTTATAAATATTTGAATGACAAGTAGTTTAAGTTTTTGAGCTTGGTTATGCATTTACATATTTACTGTTAAGGAAAATACCTAGTTATAGATACATATTTACACACTTTTATACTTCAAATCAGCACATGGATATAAATACATACATTTGCAAATATGCATAAATATAGTGTTGCAACGGATGTAACCTAGTAATGAAACCAATATCGTTTTATTGCTCGTCGAAAATCTGCTACAGTATATACCTTACAAGATACACCTGTCGTCAAGACAAGTACGATACGTTTGGCCTGGTCCACACGTTAGTTTGATTGCTACAATTCCCTATACATATGTACATAACTTTATCTTATATCATTGGACACTGGTTGTTAGTATATTGTAACTTGTAATTTAGTATTTCCCGATTCTCCCTGAATTTCGATAGGGAAAATCATGAAAATCAGAATTCATACAAAAGAGTGAAAAACCATGTATCTACTTTGAAAAATACACTAATTGTAGTAAGAATTTGAATAATGACTTAGGAGGGCAACCCTTCACCGACAGAATCACCGATCTTGATGCCCCTTGGATATCTTGTAGTCCTAGGTGAGTCTAGCAAAAGTGAAGAAGGATTTTATTCAATGGAATGAAATCCTTCTTCACTTTTGCTAGACTCACCTAGGTCTACAACATATCCAAAGGGCATCAAGATCGGTCATTCTGTCGGTGAAGGGTTGCCCTCCTTAGCCACTGCTTACTTGATTGACTAATAAGAAACTATCAATCCTGAGTAGTACACATTAAACGGATGAAAATAAGTGGTATGTATGTAGGGACGTGGGGGCATGGAATGAACAACAATCTAAAATATTCATTACCAATGGAAAAAGTGATTCTACCTCATGAAACTAATCAAACCTTACATTACTTAAAGAAATATGTGTGCCTTATCAGAATAGGACCCCGGTTTATGGACAGACATTCATTCAATGACCGAAAGTGCAGATTATTGTTATGCAGTTAATTAATATTTGTCTGCACGATTTTTTAACAAGTGAGTATTAACTAAATTTAATATGCATCCCAAATTTCGAAGGATAATGTATTTATTAATTCTGAAGAAACCATAAACATTTGCATCATCATACATACTTGTAATTATACATACTCTCATTTATAAGTTAAAATTGATTTAAAATTGTTGAACTCAGAGATTCATGAAAATTACCAACAGAGTTTTATCGTACACTAAGTTTGAAATGTACACAAAGCATCATCATGCCAAACAAACCCTTAAAGTATTTACGTAAGCTAAAAATAAATAATTTATGTATATGGACAAAGCATGGAATTAATTTAAAATTTCGCCCGATTTCATTAGCATCGTAATATCCCTATGCACCAATTTTGAAACATTCTAATTTTGGAAATACCACAAAAAGAAATGAAATTGTCGAGGTTTCGGTTAAATCTCGCTTTTATGTTTGAATGAAACGCGGTAATTCCCAATTTTACCCGTCTTACAAAAAATGTTGAAAGTGAAATACGGAAATACTAATTATCAAATTTGTTTAAAAGGTCGATCCAAACCCTAACTGAATCTGTACCAAGGATGGTTTACTATTAAAATTGGCACGGGTAGATCCGGATCGTCAAATTGCCACACGATTGACTCTACCGACGCTTTTTTTGAGAGTAAATACTCGACAACATTTTTTGGGAGGTTGTCACCCTTTAATTTTCCAAGGTTCGGAAATAACTTTACCACTTCAAAGATGGTTTCCTCAATTGCCGGACCAATTCCGATGTGGGAATTGTAGTACATGGAAATTTCGAGGTTCTTAACGCTTAGAAATTTCATAATTTGTGGGACTGAAGTTCCAGCCTCCTTTACGGAAAGAATCCTAGGAGATAAGTGCAGAAATTTTAAATTGTGACAATTTGTTAATATCGCGATCACTTCGGGGGACATGGTTTCTACCCGGTGGGGGAAGTAGTCGATGCGCAACTGCGTAATGGGCGCGGTCGCGGTGGAGGCGAACGTTTCCAGAAGACGGGATTCTTCAGGGCGTGGATTGTCAAAATCGAATTTGGAGATGTGTATACGTTTGTAGTGGTTCGAGCGGGCATTGGTTGAGGCCAGGTAGGCGTGCAAATTTCCGGGGTTGAGTGAGACCAGAGGGCAGGAAATGAGATGGACACGAGCGGCTTCTTCCCATCCGCGGGAAACAAAGGCTACCGTCTTGCAGAGGTCGGAGGTTGAGAGGAAGGACATGATTTTATGTAGAATCTGGAGTAAATTAGTTCAAGAAATAAAACGTATGTTAGGGGAAGTCCATTTATTACGTGATCAAAAAATACGGCACACGTATTTTACTCATGTTAGAGGTAACATGAATTAGATAGGAGACCCGAAAGCACTCAATCACCTTTTTGACTATACTGTTAGAAATCTGGTATAGTCACCGGGGTATTGATTTCTCGGTAGTAAACTTAGTACCACATGGTAGCAAAATTATACTGGTCGGTAAAAATTTGCTACCGACATTGTAAAACTTTCATACCGAGCCATTACTACACGGTATTACTTATCAATACCACTTTGGTAGAGTCATATATGAACACCGCTTGTTATTATTTTAATACTGGATTTCTATGAGTGTACGAAATATATGGACGTTCCCTTAATATATAGATAATTACGATTAATTATCCTAGAAATATGGCATAGTCACACAGACATTGATTAATTTCCCGGAATTAAATTCAGCATTTTTAGGTAAAAAAATTGACCGTTGTAAAATATTTACTTCCAAAATATGTACTACAATAGCGTAAAAATTGTGTCTTATCCAAGAGTATTCTTGGATAAGACAAAATTTGACAAGTATTTTGTCACGGTTAAAAAAAGTTTCAAACCTCAGGTAATGTGACGGCGAGATATCCAGAATTGCCACCAATATCTTCATGTTGTGGCTCCAAATCCATCCTAGATTGAGTATGGCCGACTGTTCTGAATACATAGATTAATTCATATGCATAATTATGTATGTACAAGCGTTAAAACTTTTGATATTAACTTATTGCAAATCAATGCAAAATTTTGAACTTTAAACCCAGATCAATTTGTGTAACTCTTACTGTGAAAGTGTTCGAGTATCCTTTTTACAATGTTTAAGAGAGCGTTGCTTCGCCTAAAATGAGGACTCGAATTGCATGCACAAACCGTTATGCTGCATTCCTTCCTTGGCTAAGGGACCCTTCTTATGTCATGTCATGAAAATATGGGTAGGTGAATTTTTTGTCACCAGGATAAAATATTATATTTGCAAATTAAAAATTGATGCATTGCATGCAACATTGTCGTGAATGAATTTGGTCTTGAAACAGGCCTTTTTTGATAACGTAATTTATAACCATCCCCCATGTTAGACGAGTTAAAAGGCGACCGATATTTTTAGAAGGGACATGAATGAATTACCTTAACTTCGATACGCCTCGCCTCGGGATTTATGAACATATTTAGAAGGGGTGCTGCAAGTGTTAACTGAGGCACAAATATTTGGATAAATATTAAAGGTTGCGTTTCCTGTAAGTTTCTGGTCTGAGGTTTGCATCCAATGAGACGCCGTCTCGAAGTGGAAGGGTTACTTTGGGCCGTACGGATAAAGGCGTCAAAGAGTTTTAATGAGTAAGGAATAAACCCTGCAGTTAAAAGGGTTAAGGCCAGACCATTGTACAATCGTTTTTGTGTGTTTTTATTGCTTTATTTATATTTTTGTACAACTGTCATTCAGGTAGTGGACTTTTTAAAGTGTACATTTAACTAAATGAAAATAACTGCAAATTTTGAAATTGTATCATTTTATTTTATTTTCTGATGCATGAATCTACCAAAATATGTGTACGTATATAAATGATTTACGACTTGAATAAAGATGCATATGTAAATATGTAGATATCCTTTCAATTTTTGTTTAATTCAGAATTTTTCTATTTTCTTGAAAGGGGGATGCTCTATTTAGGCATTTACGGACACTGCGTCACCCACAATAGCATAGTGCCTGACGGTCGCCAAACAACTAGTCGCCAATCTCAACTTGTCGGCAGACGACCAACCGACGCAGTGGATCGGTCGACATGAAATATTGGTCGCCAATCTCAACTGGTTGACAATTAATTCGTCGACGCGATTAAAAGTTGTACGAAATACTTGCAAGGGAAATTGCATGTGCAAACACTTGATTTTGATATGTACCAATTATCCAGAAATTTAAAAATAGCACACTTTTTAACCCATACGAATTACTTAGCTTTGCCTCTTCAAGCTTAATTCTGTACGCTTATGTACATATTAATTCCCTGTAAACTAATATCAGTGTGGACCACTTGAAATTGGAGACCAATATGCCATGTCTACTGTGTCGACCAGTCTTCTATCGACAAGATCAGATTGGCGACGAATGAAATGTCCACGACTCGTTTGTCGACCACTAATCAGGATCCCACATATTTTTCTTATTTCGCATCATTTTAATGTACTTGTCCAATGTAATGTAACCAATGTAATGTAAAGTATACATAATTTAAAAAACACAATTTCAGGAGGTGTAATAAACATGCTTAACATATAATTTCACGTAGTTTTTCGACGCAACTGGAATTTTTGTCAAAAACTTACTTATTAGCTCACCCTGCGTAGCAAGGGAGCTATTGAATTCCTCTTGTCCGTCCGTCCGTCCGTCTGTTAACGACCTTTTCGCATCAATTGATGCTAATTAAAATGTACCAGGTCCATTTTACTATAAATTAATAGCACCATTGGTGTCTAACAATTGGCAACAGAAAATGATGCGAAATAATTGGTGGACGCGATGTACTACGCACCAATAGTGCAGAATATCCGGAAAAGATAATCCTACAATTTTGACATAAAGTTTTCAAAGTTAAACATGGGACTTGGGCTCGCATGCTACGCAGGTGGTGCCTACTAATTCGGCCTTTTCATCCTTTTTACGTTTATTTTGCACCCTTAGTGCAAGAATATACGAAAATTATGATCTCTTTTGTCGGCTTATTCCGCACCTTTAGTGCAAAGTTATGTCCAAATCATTATGAATTTTGCGCCTTATTCTACACTATTGATGCAAAAAATTTCAAAATTCTACACCTACATATTTCGATTATAATGCACCATTGGAACCAAATTATAGAGTTTTACACTTCTTTTGTGCACTTATTCGGCACTATTGGTGCAAAATTATGTACATCCTTATTTATATTGCAGGGTGAGCTACTTCTAACGTTACTACACTGCGACCGGTAAAACAAGGACACCAGAAAAGACTTACATAACCCTTTTCTCGTCGTTAAAAACGGTGTGATCCTTCTTAGAAGTCCACGTCATTCGTTCTTTCGGCCATTGAAATTGAGCATCTTTTTGCTTCTGGGGACGCACCGGTTTCGTCTTGATTTTCCTCTTGCTGAGGTTGGGGCAAGAAGACATGACTTGATTAGTATCAGATGTTGAAATAGGAAGCTGGAACTCCGCTTAAATCTGGATAATCGTTACACAGGGGTTGCTAGAGCGACGGAGAATGTTGAATTTTTACATTTGTATCGTTTTAAACGTGCGTCCTCGCTTCCTTGTTCTACCGAAAGTGTCCCCCTTGACCTTAAAACTTGTTACGCTGGGTCGGCGGACACTTAGGTGATTGTTCGTTTTGGAAATACTCCGCCGTAAAGCACATTGAGCTTCTACCCTGCCCCTCTGCAACAAGTACGGGAATTTGCCCCTCACTATGTGAAATCGACAGAACAAAAGAGTTAATTTACGTCATATATTGACCAAAATATCCCAAATGTACTGACAATTTAATTTCTTAACAAGTTGAATCAAATTCTAATTAAGTCCGTCAAAAACAAATAATTTATTGTGGGGTGTTCTTGTTTTACTGGCCACCTGATTTTGACATATTCTTAAATAATTTCAACACCTCTGCACCAATTTTAACGAAATTTTGCGACAAGACTACTAGGAACTGTAGTACTTAATGGCGAAAGAAACAGCTATACATTCCGAAGGGCCTTTAAGAAATTGGAAAAAATGTTAGGTGTCCTTGTTTTACCGGTCGCAGTGTACGGTTTATTGCATGTAATGTATTATTAGCTCACCCTGCGTAGCACGGGAGCTATTGAATTCCTCTTGTCCGTCTGTCCGTCTGTCTGTCTGTCTGTTCACGAGTTTTTTGCATCAATTGATGCTAATTAATAAGTCCCTGCTCCATTATTACAGGACTGAGCAGCATCATTGGTGTCGAACAATCCATGAGGCAATTGGTGCGAATCAATTCAGAAAATCGATAGTGAAAAGACTACAAGTATGGAATAACTAGCACCTTTGGGGTCGAATAATCGGTTAAAGAAAATGATGCGAAATAATTGGGATCATCTATGCAAAACGCACCAAAAGTACAGAATAACGGGAAAAAATAATTACACAATTTTGATCGATCAGTATGCAAATGGTGCGACTCAGAAGGGACAATTGATCGACGGAGGACTACAATTTTTAAATAAGTCGCACCGTTAGTGTCGAACAATCGGTTGTCCAAAATGATACGAAACAATTGGGAGAATCAATGCAAAATGCACCAACAGTGCAGAATAACTGGAAGAAACAATTACAAAAATTTGACATCTCAAATTAAGGCTCTCGCCATGGGAAGTTGATCACTTGGTAGTTTCATACAGGAGCGGTCGAAAAATAGGTTTTGAAATCTGAAATTGTTGTGGAATACGCCAAATATATCTAGCCACATGCCACAAACGTTTCATAAGTTTTCATTGGAAAATAAATTTCGTACACGATTTCAAAGCGAGGAAGTCGGGAAACGAGTTTTTTGTAAGTACAAAAATCTGAGCGACAAAGACTCGAAGAAGGCTTAGCTACATTTCAACAGGGAAGGGTGTGGCCATGCAAAAATTAGGATATACATAAAAAAGTATGGAGAATCCAAAAATGTAAACTTCAAGTAACCACCATTTGAAAAAACCATCATATCGACCCCTCAAAAGTTAAAAACGATTGAATGGTTTTTTGAAAATTCTCCATCCACGTCAGTGCCTGATGCGGCCATGAAGTCAAAGATTAATACAAACCACTTGTATCATATTAAGCACTATAAAATGGGGGTCAAAGCGTATGCAAAGAAATCTCCAACAAAACATACGGGGACTGAAGAAAAAATGACAATCGCACGACCTCCAAAGCTTTATAACAAAAGTTCTCCAAAAATGTTGGTCATTCACGACGAGTCCTACGTCCTTAAAAACGTGACAGAAACTGCGGGAAGGCAATTTTTTCATGGGAAATATATCTCTCAACTAAAAACCGGAGAGAAATTAAAAATTTTTTCAAAATTTCTCAAAAAATCTCAGGTTTGCCTGGCGTTCCGTCAGTTTGGGCATGCATTTCGTACCCCTCAGTTCTGATGGGCTGTGAGGAAGCACAGGTTCATTTTCGGAAATGTGTGATAGACCGTTTGATTCCTCTCATCAATGGGTATTATAAAATGTACAATGCAATTTTTTGGGCCGACCTTGCACCAATCCACAATGCAACAACTATCAAGGAAGAACTCGAAAAAAAAATCAGTTTGACGTCCAAAAATTGAAACCCCACATACATCCCTCATCTTAACTCAATAAAAAAATGTAGGCTATATGTTAGAAGTAATACTCCCAGCTTTGGGAAACAGTCGTTGATTAAAGAAAATTTTGGTTCCGGTAGCAGAAAATTAACAATGAAGTTGCAAAGTCTTCCGAAAATTAATAATGACGGACATGACGAAAAATGTTAAATATGAGATGGATAATATACTTAAGTCTTATTTGTTCGCGGATCTGGGTAGTCAGATGTATTTATAATATTCTACACAAATTTGAGGTTTCTGGAATCGTTGTTTTGACTATTTATGTCCCAAATTGCTAGTGATCAACTTCCCATGGCGAGAGCCTTAATTCGTTCGTGCCAAAGGTCCAAATTTCATAAAAATTAAATATGTATTTTCTCGCGTTATCCTACACAATTTGTGCAAAATTATATGATTACCATAAATATCTAATTTCCGTGATTGCTCTGCACCAATGGTGCAAAATTGTATAACACATATGTACTTAC